AGAATTGATGTGATGAGAAATGATAGAGGAATAGAACTATCTATACTTGGTGGTATCGACTAGATCAATTCAAAAAGCAAATCGTTTGATCGTCACACGAATGAGCGTGTTCCTTAAGCAGCATTGCATTCAAAGCACATTTCCATTGTTGACCATATTCATCAGGGACGTCGTGTTAACTTCTTATCTGCGAGATTTGTCACCGTATCTCAAGACCCGATCACTGGACGAGCAACACCGAATATGCCTCTAATAACGACTGATCCTGAGCAAGAAGAAATTGTTCGAAGGGGACGTGGTATCTCACTATTGCATTTCGTTTAATTTTCTAATTTATTGTCTGAACTTTTCAAAAGTTGTATTGTTTCTGCTCGGAAAATCGTACCTACTTCACGCACACATTATTGACTGTGCACAGTAAATTGCTCATCTATAGAACTGAAATCGAGATGAACACATCAAATCATTCATCGGCATTGGTTAAATTCTTTTCAGCTGCTCGCGAAATTCATAAGCTCGACGAAGAACATTCACTACTCCGAGAGCCACCTAATGAAAGTGAACGGAAACTATTGCACGACATTTTCCTGAAAACCGTCGACCACAAGTAGGTTACATATCCATCGGAAATTTAGTTCGAGCCTTGTGAGTGCCTGCCAACATTAAAATCAGACCAGTCTCTTTAGTGTGATTGTGGTACGTGCATTTCCTAACAAATATACAGAAATTCTCCATGAGCATTTCATTAGACATTGTTGAAACCGACCCGACCGAGTGAGGTTTCGCTTTCAATAAACATTACCGAATTCGATTTGGATCAGGTGATGGTTTCGAAATAAACATTCGGCACTATTATCTTAAACAAAAACTTATTGTTCGGCGACGTGATTGAGCGGGAATGACTGATTTGCAGTAGCCATTCGTTCGAGCACCGTCGACTGCCAGAGAATCACGTTTGGCTCGAAGATGCGAAACTGAAAAATGCGATTATATGTTTTCCGATTGATCGAAATGTTCACGGGAAAATTTTTGGTGGTTACATTATGCGACTTGCGTTCGAATTAGCCTGGTCAAATGCTGCTATATATGCGTACGTTTGTTTCATTTGCAAACGCACATCTCATTCGAGTTGTAGTCAGGGGATGCGTAATTTCATTCAAATTTTCTTTCCCATTTTTTGTTTCTAAAATTTATCTTACATTTAGACAAGGTCATGTAGAGAAGTCATTTTTGAATGTTGAATGCTAGCGTTAGGAGATGATGAAGAGTTTTGGCCGTTGCGGGAGCTTTTTGCATAAAACCGATGGGAGAAATGCAGAGATTGAATAATA